AAAAAGAGATAAATTTTAAATGGAAAGGTAAAGATAATCGTAATTAGGCGATAAATGTACTCTAGAGTACAGAAATGAATTTGCAATTGGTATAATTTTCACAAGGAAATCAATACTTTCATACATGAAGTCTTAAATAATTTTTCTCTCAAATTTTTGGTTGCAGAATGTTCAAGACATATTGCTCTTGGTACTGTTTCTTTGAAATAGAGGATGAATCAAAGTAGAATGGCGCACTCGTGGATCCTAGTTTAGTACTGATGATAAAAAGTAAACTTACTCTTGATGTACTGTGAATCATTTGCTACACTTTTGTTACAATCATTTGAAATGATTCCAAAACTCCATGCCGAACATAGTCTTGAAATCATTTTGCCCCACTTATCGTATTGTATCTACTTTAATAACTGTGAGGTGATAACTGAAAGTAGCACACGAAGTAATTCATTCTTTACTGATTTAATTTTTCCCATCTTTCTGGAACTTCTATTTGCAGAGGTTAAGAGTCTCACTTCTGATGACTTCCGTTTTATCGGCAAAAGTTTATAGGAGAATATTCACATTAGAAAAGATTTGATAGACCTCATTATGGTGTCTGAAATTGGTCAATCTTAGTCTCCATTTACGAAGAATCAGATTCTTACTGCAATAATTCCTACGCTTTCTGAGCACGTTTTACTGCCTGATGGAAAACAAACTATTCCTTCCCGGCCATAAAACCACAACTAGCCTTCCAAGTTCGATAAACACGACTAAATTCTCAGTGAATAGCAAGGAAATCATAGAAAATCGTTTATTCCACACAGATGCAAAGCAATATGTGATATAAAATGCTAAAATCAACATAAGTTTGATACTTGAATTAATTCTGTTCACAAAATCTGGACAAAATATTTTGAAAAAATGAAACTTGTCTAAAATTTTTCAAATTCAGACTCCAGTATCTACACAAATTAATCGGAATACAGAATACTTTAAACTACACTATTAAGGCAAAGTATTGCATATAAGGAACGATTCCTACATGAAACAATTTAACATTAATATAAAGAAGAACTCAAAAGAAAATAAGTCCACACATTACAATTCATATGTAATAAAATGAATTATCCAAAGAGAGAGTATTAATCGTTTCAAAAATTATACCTGAAAATGACAAAAATTTTACAAGCGCACCTCAAATTCGATTACTTAACAGCGCTTATACATAAATGATGACTTGTCATGGTATGAGGATAACAATCGAGAACAGTTATTTTGCTTCAATTGTGCTAATATATAGTTAACTCTCACCATCGAAAAATAAAAAAATCAATGGCAGCGAGAGTATATTAGAACTAAAAAATCATCGAACGCATAAGAAAACAAAAAGCCATTGTTTAAAACTTGTAAAGTGAAATTAAGGTTGAAAAATGCAAGCTTAGAATTAAGTATGAAAGACAATCATATAACATGTCAATATACATATGAACGAAGATTTTGTACCGACATCCATAATCTTGGGTACATTTGAATATTCTATAGCACAAAATTTGGTGTAGATTCAACGCAGGCTTCACTTATTTGCAAAACTAGTGCAATTTAAACCCAATATAATTTTAGCCAATATCTTGAAATAATTTCATTTAATAAATTAATAATGTTACAAGTTTAAGCATCATAATGTCACAACTTGAACAGTAGGAATTGTTCGTAATGAAGAACTCTAACATTAACACCCTTATTTGATTATTCATTTAAGAATAATTATCCCCAAGTTGTCTATCAGCCATATTCGGATTGGCAAAATAAATCGGTTGTTCATGTCGTCTCCTGTTGAAAAGATTCCTGAAGTGTTCAGTTAAGCGACTAAAAGCACCACAACAATCTGAAACATACATACAATTGATGAATACTTCCATAAGCTCAGATGAAAGAGTGATTATCAAATCAATTAGATTTTACTGATCACCCGTTCATATACTTCATGAATTTAGAAAATAAATAATCCTAAAATACGACCGTATTTCACGAAAAATTAACCAGGACTTACAGCAAACTTTACGTCAATCTTAAAAGCAATATTTTTTCATAAAATCTTTTATTCAAAATACTGTGAACGCGCCCAACCTGCACTATCGTTAGAACTGCCTTCAAACAAGCCAACAGAATATTAAGATTTTATGAGCAAATTCATATTTCAAAAAGAAAAAAGATTACTCAGACTAAGATAAAAATAGTTTTTACCTAACACCAACAAATTTCCAGAAGAATATTGTAATTTCGTCTCATCAGTACTATTTAAATGGTTTGGTTGTCCTGCACATAAAAGTTGCAACAGTGATCTGTCTTCACATTCTTGAACCCCATAACGATCCTGCGCATGTATTGCACGAAAATTTAGGAATAAAATTCAAATGTTTTACAAAATAAAACTACGTAAGCCATTTTAAGAATTGCAATAGACGTAACATGAAAATCTATGCATATCAGCCTACAAATTTTCAGTGAGAACTTCAAACATGATATGGTTACACTATACCAAACAAATATACAACAATATTTAGTTTAAACACAATTAATTTGAAAACATCTTAAGAACTCGCTCGATCTATCAAGATTATGGTTTTAATGACAAAAATGTTGAAGCAGTACATACACTAATCTAAGAACTATCAAAAATCGGTTTCTTACAGTCTGTTCTTTCAAAACTCTTGATTTAAAAAAAAATTGCTTTAAATGTTTTAGAACTAAACTTCTTTCCGACATGATATATAAAGCGACAAAATGAAAGCACAGGAGTATGAATTTCATAGAAATTGAAACAGTGAAAAAAATTATTTTGCAAATATACCTTAATTACTTCATAGGCATCCATAATAATGGCGATAAATAACGAGAGCACCACATAAACAAACAATGAAACAAAGATATATATGTAAATTGTGCCGAATATTTTTATAGCAGTATTGGAATCATTAATAGTAAAAAATGTTGCAAACATATCATCGCCATTCAGTAATGAAAATAACGCTTCTGATGACTTCCCTAATGTCCGAAACTGAAACTACATGAGTATTTGATGAAAAGTACATACTTAAAAGCTTGCACTAAGAGACGATACGAACAAGATAATACTTTAATAAAACATAAAGATACACAATTTCCTACCGAATTTAAAAATTAAAAAATACGGAGGACAATTAATATTCTTAGAAGATAATCAACCTCACGAAATTCATAATGAAAAGATATAGAAATATATAAAAAATAAATAAACATATTATGAGTCCTATGTGCATTTAAAATTCAAAACGCCAGATTTAAGGTGTTCAGAAAGCGATTTTATAGAAAACTGACTGAGGAACAATCTGTTAGCCCTACAATGTAGGGACAGAAGAAATCAGAGAGTTCTGAGCCATATTGTGGAATTCGAAAAATGGGAGACGACGATGATAATCGGCACTAATGAATATCTGAAAGAATTCGTTCCAGACTCTGAGCATGATACTTTCCCATCTGAAGCAGAATTTGGGAAGATAGTTTCCTGTTTGCTCAACTGGAAAGCGGCGGGCCCTGATGGAATCTACAACTTCTTCATTAAGAAGTGTACCTTCTTACATCCAGATTTCTATAAAATAACTAGGTAGATCTGCTTGGATGGAGAGGAACAGGACCCATGGTTCTACAAAGGAACAAAGTATCTGATTCCTAAAGATGTTCCAAACAAAAGTAGTGACTTCAGGCCAAAAACCTGTATGTCAAACCATTACAAGTTGGCAACGAAAAAATTGTTGCCACGAGAAAACTACCTGCAGACAACCAATTATGAATTGTTGGAAAGGTTCAAGGTGCGAAAGAGCAGGCACTCTTGAACCTGGCGGTATGAAGAGCGCATGGAAAACAGTTATTTACCACGTGATATGACGTTAAAAAAAGCGTTCGATTTAGTGGGTCACAACTATTTAATTAGGTGTATCGAAAGACTCAACATTCCAGAGCAGCGATTCTGATGCAGAAGAAAGCTCATAACACGAACTTGGCAATTACTGTACCCTATCTAACGA